CAAATCAGTCTCTGGACCCAACAGTTCCTTCCTCAAAGAGAAACCCGGACTCCTCAAGGTAATCTTCTGAAAACTTCCAAACGCAAACTCCTCAGTGCCAACGCTAACTGAACTGTCATCCTCACAGACTCCAGTGAACCAGTCCCCGGCCAGAACCAGTTCCAGTTCACATGATTTAAGTGCTTGTGTTTTAAATAAACATTGTAAAACTTTCCATCTGTTTCCGTGGTGTTCTGCATATTGGGCTTCTCTGAGAACCAATCATGACATGAAAAAGCTTCCTGGATGGGAAGCAAAACATCTTCAAACTTGGAAACAAAGTCCAGCAGGCTGTTTTTTTTTTAACTTTTTTGGAATGAAAATGATCTGGATGATTGAGAATCTTCACCAGCATCTTCATAGTTTCATTTAAAAAAAAAAAACAAGACTCTGGTGACCTCTTTCAAAAAGGCTTTGATCAATCCAGAGTTTCAGAAGCCTGTTAAATGTGAAGAGTAGAGATTTTGAACCTGCCTCAGCTCAGCACTGATTAATATATCATCACGGTGATCATCTTTTTCTGCTGCTTTAATGCTGTTTCCATCAATTAAATCCTAAATCTGAGAAGTTCTCCAGGTCTGCAATGAGCTGCTCACCTTTTACTGTGCAATCTTTGCTTCCTGAGACTAGGCTGTCGGCGTGGACATCCAGGCAGTTTATGGTTCCAGAATGACCGCAGAGCACCATGTCACACCTGCCTGTTCTTATATTCCAACATCTGCAGGTTTAAAAAACAACAAAACATGTTTGAAATAATAGCATTTGGGCCAAAGTTGGGAATTCAAAAGATTGCAAAAACAAAACAAAAAAAACCTCACCTGATATTTGAATCACAAGCTGCAGTTATTAGCAGGTTTCTTTCCTCACAAAGCAGCATGGCCCGTATCGGGCCGAGGTGCCCTTTCAGGACTGCGATGGTTTTTGTTTCCGACGCCACACGAAGCAGCTGCACCCATTTTTTATTGTAGCTCATCGCCATCAGGCGGCCTCCTCTATAGTCCAGAACACGGTTCTTGTCTTCTCTGCTAACCGTGAAAACAATTATTCCTGAATTAAATCATTACACATGCCTTAAATGATTTCTACACCCCCTGAATCCACTTTGTCACTTTGCTACCACAACCATTAAAGCAGGAGTGTCAGACTCACTTTAACATCTGACCACTTCAGCATCATTC